GCTTCATCTTCTGAACGATGCTGCTTCACCACGTGTAGAAGTGGAAGAGCTTGTGCGACATTTCAATAAACGATCTCGTGCCTCTTCTGCATGAGGTGTAACACAGTTCTCCGTGAGCAGAAGAGGCTTTCTGCCATTGGAAGGATACTTCTGGATCCAACCCAGCTATGTCATGAACTAAATGAGCAAGCTGTCTCTTTCTTCTAACATTCTGTCCGTCTTCATGGAGCAATGATACAGGCCAGCTTACAGGAGAGTTATAAGAAAAAGTGAGTTGTTTTGAGTGTTTGGAGAAAGGAACACTTTCCTAAACACTTATTTAAAGTTTTACTGTTGGACTACAGAGTTTGCAGGGACCAGCTCAAATTTCCTAGTCAGTACAGTGAGATTCTAACAGTGAATAAGCTGGTTTTATATGAAAAGGGCATTTATATGTTATTATTAATTGCTCTGCCACTACACTTGTCTAATACAACACTCTTCTTGAAAAGCTAATTTTAATGCATCTTTTCATTTGTGCCTTTAAAAAAAAATGCAGAGTTCAGTAGATCGTTACTAGCTCCAAGCTCAATTTTCTTTTCATTTTAAAAAAGACTTTAAACTATGCTTTCCAACTATATTGTCCCAAGATCTTTCTTAAACCTGCCAGCACTCAGGCTATAGGCCACTGAAACCAACTGAAGAGGCAGTTCACATATTTTGCTGGAAGGAACTTGCAAAATTATTACTCTTAATTTCTCTGTCTTCTTAGGGTGATGCTGGGGATAGGCGGATGTCAGAAGAGGAATGAACATCTAGTCTGTTCCTACAGAGATACTTTGTTTTTGATAGCTCAGTGCCACAGACGAGAGGAAAGCATAGGGTTCCAGTGCAACCCTCTCCCCATCCAGCGTTTTAGCTAGGTCACAGAGAAACACAAAAATAACAAGGCCAAAAAAATGCTGCCTTTAATCAACCTTGAAGATAAGACATTTTTATACTGAACTTCTGCTTTAAACACATAACCGAAGACTACCCCTTAGCTGTTATGTATTTGTATGTCAGAGAAGCGCTAAAATTATTTTGAATGAGGAATGAGGGGATAAAGATCTGTCTAAAATTTTGGGGGGGTGGACACTGCTGTCTGTACATACTAAACAATCTAAGGAAAGTCCCCAGAGAAAAATCAACTCTTACGTTTCTCTTACTTTTATGCCCACCAGCATGTACTTTTATTAGCATTAAGTGAAAGTGCAGGGTTTTTTTTTAAAAAAAGCTTTCTCATTTAACATCTTCTTGAAACATCAACATTTTTTGTAGAAAGTGAGACGATACATGCAGTAGGAGTTTCGAAATTGTACAGTAAGATAAAGTTTAACTGTTTATCCACATGTCCTCCTCTCTTTTTATTTTTAGTGTCTCCATAGTCTTTTAACTATGTCTTGGTAGTAAACAAACATACATGGAAAATTCATGATTATACTATTATGAATATAGCCCTGTTAGCATTTCCACCCCCCTCAACTGCTAGATAGTTCAGTGGTTTAGGTGTTTCGCAGCAATGCCAGAGGTTAGGGGTTCGATTCCCCCACTGTGCCTCCAGACAGCCTAAGTGGCCTTGGGCAACCTGTACAGTCCTAGGACACACGGAGAAGAAGGGAATGGTAAACCACTTCTGAGTATTTTCTACAAGGAAAAATAGCCCTGAAAAGGATAACTATTAACCAGAATTGAATTGACAACAGATTATTATTATTATGGGTGTCTGTCTGTCTGTCTGTCTGTCTGTCTGTCTGTCTGTCTGTCTATCTGTCTATCTATCTATCTATCTATCTATCTATCTATCTATCTATCTATCTGTCGTCGGTGGTGGTGGTAGAGTAGACCCATTGAATAAATGAGATCAGTTAAGTCAACACTCATGGAAAAAATCCCAGTGATTTGGTGGCCTAGCCTAGCTAACACCAAACATGAATTTTGCCTTTTGTAGGAAGCCATGCAAAGGACTGATATGCATCCTGCTTCCTCTGTAAGAGAATGTAGAACCTTTCCCCCCCCCCCGTTGAAACTTAGCTTAATATCTCTTATACTCCCAGGTGTTTTGCCCATTAGTAGAATGAAAGCACTTGGAGGAAGAAGGGACAAAGATGGAGGAAGTGGGGATGTAGAGGATTCATCTCCTTATTTTACTGCTGCTAAAAGTAAACTCTGTCCCATTATGATTTTGCTAGAGAAATCCACTTTACAGAAAGATCTGGAACTTGTTATGACGCAGCACATGAAAACTCAGTCTGGGCCAAGGGAGCTAAAGCAGGGATAGGAGTGGTTCATTGTGAACTGATGAGTGGACTTGGAGCAAGAAGCCACAAAGATGGAGGAAGTGGGGAAGTAGAGGATTCAGTCCTGTTAACTGTCTTTTCAGAGGCGATTGATACGTTCAGAGTCCCTTAAAAAGCCTTAACATCGTATTGGTGTAGCTTCCCGTATGTCGGTGTGCTGTTGGAGAGTATCTGGAAATGACAGTTTTTGTTCTGAAACCTCACACTGTTACCTGGCATGTTTTTCATGAACCATAATAACTATGCTGGTTTGTAGTTTCTTCTGAAGCTTGAACGAAGGTGTGATAGTGCCCTAAATACTCTGGGGCCAGGATATCTGAAGGAAGTCTCTTGTCTATGCCTGCCCAAAATTTATGATATCCATAAAAGCCCTTCAGGAGAGCCTGAGAGGCTTGATAGATGGGGGGCAGGGACTTTTCTGTAGCAGTGCCATAAATGTGAAGGTCCATTTTTGCAGGTTCTTTCGAAGGGAAGATAGCCTGGTTTCTGGTCTGCATCCATATTTTCATCAATAAGTAATAAATAGTGGCACTTGATATTTCTTCTTAGTTGCTCATATTATCAGAAAAAGCACGAGGCAATAGGTGCTTGGGGAAACACCTCACACACTCTATAACTGACATTTAGGGTCAAACAAAATGGTCCAAGAAATATTTTCATTTATTTTAGTGAAAGGCGGTTGTGTGGGGCTTTAAGGTTGATTATAGAAGCTATAGAAGATGCTTAACCTCTTTCCATATGAGAATTGAAATGATCAAACCCACTATTTTACCTGTAAAAGGAAAAATATATAGAGATGTTGCATCTTTTCCTTTGTAAGAAGGAAAACAGCTCTGAGTGAGCTTTGTGATTCTGATATGAAAAATAGCTGACAGTATTACGTAACTCTGAGTGTTTCATATAGCTTTTTTTCCTAAGACCTTTTAATATACATTTCTTCATGATATGAATACCTCAGCCTCATTTCCTCCTGTTTAATAGTCATTGTTTTAAATTGATTACAGCCTGCATCAGTAAACTAAACTCTGTAGGGTAGGTCCATGTTAGAAACCGATGCCAATTGGATCTGGATGGAGAAATTGGCTTGCTTAAAGCCCCAATTGGCATGTTTATGGCAGAAGACAAATTCAGACTGGGAGCTTCTGATTCTTAGTTCAATCTCTTAACCATGGCATTCCCAACAACTGAAGGTTCATTTCAGTATGGAAAAAAAAACATGAGATATTGCTCACATATTAGGCCCAGTATGACCCTTATGATTAGCAGTAATCTTTGACATTAATGAGGATTATTCTGGAATAAATGCATAACTGAGTTTCTGAAAACTAGTATCAAAGTAATCCATCATCTTTCACAATGTACTTCTAGAATGATGAAATCGAACAAAACAAATCTATTGATTTATAAAACTGAAGGAGCATTTTGACACAGAAGACTATTACTCATTCTTACATTTCAGCATTACACAACACATTCTGCACTTGGAAGACTGATTTATTAAATATAATCTCTAACAACACTGCAGTCCCATACACATGTGAATGACTTTCACCGAACTAACTGGAACTTACTTCTAAGTAGACTTTTTTTTAAGGTGGTACTATAACAGAATATGGTGCTCAGTTTCTGAAAATGACCAATGATGGGATTAAATCTAGCAAGGCTACTGTATCTAAATCCAGTTGCTACTCCTGACCCCAGTCGACCTATAGAACCATTTTTGGATTGGCAAAATAACGTGTGCAAACTCTATTGATTCAGTGGATCTAAGTTAGTTGGGACTATCAGTTGGCCTGTGTGCTTTTTCCTCCTGAATTTAAAGGCTATGGAAATATAGTCTCTTCACTTATGGCACTCGGCAAGTGTTCAAACACAGTTCATTATGTTATATATTTAATGGTTAAAAGATGCCAACGAAGACACATATTGGTTTCATGCATTCCATGTGTGAATTGCTGAAGGCATAAGGAGTGGGGAAAACATCCCAATTTAGGACTCTGTGCTATGATATTGTGCCAAGCTTTCACATGTGCATCACCCTGTGTTATAAAGCGACCAAGATTTGCCTATTGAGAGACATTTTAACAAGTCAGTTTATGAGTATCCCAGTTTTACCTAATGATCCTTGGTTGTATGTATGTATGTATGTATGAGAGCCAAGATTTATAGTCCCAACACTGGGGGAAAACTTCAGATTGTTTGACCCTGTAAACACAAAATTCATGTATCTCACCCTGGGACAAATACATTCTTCTAAAAAGCAGCATATGGGCAGCCTTGGACTGATGTTAGTTTATTGTCACTGCTTGATAACGTTTAATGGAAAAGATACAAGAGTGCCAAAGAATTTTAATTATTTTTGTGATAAAGTTATATGTTCGGCCTTGAAAAAGTGAAGATAATGCTGGGATTCATTATTATTCCCAGTGTGTTTAAACAGACGACACAGAATGCAAACAAAAGCAGATGAAATTTGAAAAGTATTATCAATATTGCAGATAGCAGATGCCCTTTCCAGTCAGAACAAGAATATCTTCTATAGCAACTTTATGGTTGAGTAGTTTATTCATTTCTATTAGAAGGTTGTACGTTTCTAAAATATGTAGATGATATCTAGGAAACCAACCAACCAGTAGGGTCATTTTGCTTGTTTTCCTAAATTTATTATTTTCACTTTTGCAGGCTTGATCTGAGGTACATTAACATGGGAGAGAAATCTTGTTATGTTAGACTTCTATCTTATATATTTGACCTTTCGTGTGTTCCACCATGGCTCCTGAAAGAAAATAGAAGGAGGTGTTTTTCTACTACCCAGTTAGAATGCAACATTTGAGAAGGTAAGGGGAAATGTTTTGTTTTCTCCATAGGTTTCATGATTTGCAGCTATGTAATTGTTATAAATAGAATACAGCTTTTATATTATTATCGTGTACATTAAAGTTAAGATAAAAATTAAGGAAATATTTTGTGTTGTGTAGAATTATATTGTTATAAACTAATTATGGCATCAAGCTTTTGTATGCCCCCCCTCCAGTTATCCCAACACAAATCCAATTCCCCTCCACTACACAAATAACTTGGATTCTGAAAACGACTATGATTTCAGATGAGTTGTCATTAAATCTACTTCCTTCATAAATTATAAAAGAAAAATGGAGAAGTGAATATCGAGATGTTCAGTTTTCAAGAGATGTTTATACATGTCTTGCGTTGACAGGCATATCCTGATAGTTAATTTTGATTTTGCAGGGTGGGGCGTGTGTGTGTGTGTGTGTGTGTGTGTGTGTGAGAGAGAGAGAGAGAAAGAGAGAGAAAGAGAGAGACTATTGTAGTGTGCTTTTTTTGATAAAGCTTTAAAAGTAAAACTTTTGCTTTCACACTGTCTCTATTGGGTTTGAGGTGTTTTCTAGAATCTATATAAGGGATCTGGATTTTTCAGAGTGCTTTCAAAGGCTTTCTTAGTATTTTTGATTGTTTGGAGCAATACAGAAGCATTTGGGGGTTTTTTGCAGAATAAAATATACTCTATATATGTCAGAACATTTTTAAATGAAACTAAAATGTTGAGTTGCAATGAGAACTCCAGTGCTGAGTCATGTTATGATCAGCCCCCAGGAAATAGTATGTCCTGTTGTTGTACCATGTTATATTCAATAACGTAGGGGAACACATGACCACCATAAGTGACAACTACTACCAATCACCTGTAATGTACACACAGGACCATGTGTTAATATATATGATCACACTAAGTGTCTAGGAATAGGAATGCTGGTGTAATATTTATCCTAAAGAAAGGAAGAAAGGAACATTATTATATATTGTGTGCCATTAAATGTACTTGAAAAGCTACCGCATTAGGTTTTGCTGGCCAGTAAAAAAAAATGTTTAAAATGCCTAGCATTGCTACAATGGATACATGCTTGTTCTGTTGTGACACTTCTGTGAGTACTTCTTGAAAAAAGTGTAACATGAATAAACCTTCTATAAACTGCACTGGGTACAGAAGAAGGAAGAGAAGGGTCGCATCAGACTTGCCAACTCTTGCATAGTAGAAAAAGGAACAAAAGATGATTGTGCTGTCGGTCAGGGCCTGGAGAAAGGTTTTCTTTCTTAAAGTGCACATCAACTGCATGTTTACACAAATCCTTTGTCTTCAAGAAATGCGGTATCACAATAACATATAATAAGCCAATATGAATCAATCTAATGCATTCCACCCCTTCACGGATTGCTGCCTTGTCGTGGCGAAGGGGCTTGAGAAATTCAGAGAAGCTATGGGCTATGCTGTGCAGGGACACCTCTTAATATTTATGATTGTTTGGAGCAATACAGAAGCATTTGGGGTTTTTTTGCAGAATAAAATATACTCTGTATATGTCAGAACATTTTTAAATGAAACTAAAATGTTGAGTTGCAATGAGAACTCCAGTGCTGAGTCATGTTATGATCAGCCCCCAGGAAATAGTATGTCCTGTTGTTGTACCATGTTATATTCAATAACGTAGGGGAACACATGACCACCATAAGTGACAACTACTACCAATCACCTGTAATGTACACACAGGACCATGTGTTAATATATATGATCACACTAAGTGTCTAGGAATAGGAATGCTGGTGTAATATTTATCCTAAAGAAAGGAAGAAAGGAACATTATTATATATTGTGTGCCATTAAATGTACTTGAAAAGCTACCGCATTAGGTTTTGCTGGCCAGTAAAAAAAAATGTTTAAAATGCCTAGCATTGCTACAATGGATACATGCTTGTTCTGTTGTGACACTTCTGTGAGTACTTCTTGAAAAAAGTGTAACATGAATAAACCTTCTATAAACTGCACTGGGTACAGAAGAAGGAAGAGAAGGGTCGCATCAGACTTGCCAACTCTTGCATAGTAGAAAAAGGAACAAAAGATGATTGTGCTGTCGGTCAGGGCCTGGAGAAAGGTTTTCTTTCTTAAAGTGCACATCAACTGCATGTTTACACAAATCCTTTGTCTTCAAGAAATGCGGTATCACAATAACATATAATAAGCCAATATGAATCAATCTAATGCATTCCACCCCTTCACGGATTGCTGCCTTGTCGTGGCGAAGGGGCTTGAGAAATTCAGAGAAGCTATGGGCTATGCTGTGCAGGGACACCCAATGCGGACGGGTCATAATGGAGAGTTCTGACTAAATGCCATCCACCCGGAGAAGGAACTAGCAAGCCACTCCAGTATCTTTGCCAAGAAAACGCCATGGACAGAAACAAAAGGCTAAAAGATATGACGCTGGAAGATGAGCCCCTAGACGATTATCATATCTGCTATTGTGGGCAAGAATCGCGTAGAAGAAATGGAGTAGCCCTCATAGTCAACAAAAAAGTGGGAAAAGCTGTAATGGCATACAATCTCAAAAATGATAGAATGATTTCAATACTTCAGCAGTATGTGGACCGAGAACTCCCAGAAGTACAAGATGGATTCCGAAGGGGCAGAGGAACTCGAGACCAAATTGCTCACATGCGCTGGATTATGGAGAAAACCAGAGAGTTCCAGAAAAACATCTACTTCTGCTTCATTGACTATGCAAAAGCCTTTGACTGTGTGGACCACAGCAAACTATGGCAAGTCCTTAAAGAAATGATTGGTTCAAAATATGGGAAAGGAGTATGACAAGTCTGTACGTTGTCTCCCTGCTTAATTAATTTATATGTAGAATGCATCATGTGAAAGGCTGGACTGAAGGAATCCAAGCTGGAATTAAGATTGCCGGAAGAAATATCAACAACCTCAGATATGCAGATGATACCACTCTCATGGCAGAAAGTGAGGAGGAATTAAAGAACCACTTAATGGAGGGTGGAAGAGGAGAGCACAAAAATGGTCTGAAACTAAACATTAAAAAATGAACATCATGGCCACTAGTCCCATCATCTCCCGGCAAATAGAAGGGGGAGATATGGAGGCAGTGACAGATTTTACTTTCTTGGGCTCCTTGATCACTGCAGATGGTGACAGCAGCCACAAAATTAGAAGATGCCAGCTTCTTGGGAGGAAAACAATGAGAAAACTAGACAGCATCTTAAAAAGCAGAGACATCACCTTGCCGACAAAGCTATGGTTTTTCCAATAGCGATGTATGGAAGTGAGAGCTGGACCATAAAGAAGACTGACCACTGAAGAATGGATGCTTTTGAATTGTGGTGCTGGAGGAAACTCTTGAGAGTCCTCGGGACTGCACAGAGAACAAACCTACCCATTCTGAAGGAAATCAAACCTGAGTGCTCACTGGAAAAACACATCCTGAAGCTGAGGCTCCAATATTGTGACCATCTCATGAGAAGGGAAGACTCCCTGGAAAAGCCCCTGATGTTAGGAAAGTGTGAAGACAAGAGGAGAAGGGGACGACAGAGGACAAGATGGTTGGACCGTGTCATCAAAGCGACCAACATGAATTTGACCCAACTCTGGGAGACAGTAGAAGACAGGAGGGCCTGGTGTGCTCTCGTCCAGGGGGTCACGAAGAGTCGGACACAACTAAATGACTAAACAACAACAAAAATGCAGTCCAGACTACAACTGGGTAGGAATCAATTACAAATGCATATGGACCAGATAACTCAATCAGCCAAGGCCAGTTGTAGATTGCTTTTAAATCACTTGTGTAGCACTATTTAGCACTGTGCACCATTTTATTACTCCACCCTATATGATGAAATTCTGTTGCTGCTCAGGGAATAAGATCTATTTTTCTCCCAAACTCCCTCTCCCTCTCTTGTTCTGTATTATTATAGTGCCCGTTTGTGGATTTCCTCACCCACTGGACTAAACCAGATAGTTCATAAGGGTTACCTTTGTGTGTACTCGGAATACAGTGATGAGGATAAGAGAACCGAAGTGGAGGGTTGTTTTGCCATTTAGGACAACTGGTGACTCGCATTATAGAGGAAAAAAATATCCCATCCCTGCCATGGCGTTTGGTAGCTGTATTGTTTCAGAAGAAGATATTTATTTATCCATTTTATTCTTTTTTATTTGTTATTTTTATACTCTCAGAGTAGCACTCAAGATAACTTATAATCTTCATAACAGAATATAAACAAATGAAATCAACTTGAAGGATAAAATTGTATGGCAGTTTTAAAAGAGGTGTTTTACACTCTTCTTTAAAGCACTCAGATTGGAAACTGATTGTAGTTCTGAAGAGAGTGAATTCCGCAGTCTAGGAGCCACACAGGAGAAAGCCGCCTTCTCTTATGCCTGACACATGGCTCTCTTCAGCAACTAGCATTCATAAATAGGTTCCTCCTAGGGACCATAGCATTGGACTCATTCATAACAAGAAAACTAATCCCGTAGATCAGTTGTCCCCAACCTTGGGCCTCCAGATGTTCTTGGACTACAACTCCCAGAAGCCTTCACCACCACCTCTGCTGGCCAGGATTTCTGGGAGTTGAAGTCCAAGAACATCTGGAGGCCCAAGGTTGGGGACCACTGCCGTAGATAGTTCAACCTGAAGCCCTTTAAGGCTTTTTAAAAGGCTAAAACTTGAGTTGGGCGCCATAAGCTTCTGGTAAGCTGTGAAGGCCTTTCAGTGATTGCAGCATTCTGCAATGGTTAGCAGCATAATTCCCATATATTGCACCAGTTGGGAATCCCACACAGTCTTCAAGGGAAACCCAACTAGTATGGTCAAGACGTGAGTCATGAATGCCTGTTACTAAGTCAGGTCCCAAAGGACTAATGAGGTTGCCGTCCACTTATCCAGTCTCTGCTATAGCTCATCTAGCAAAGCGACCAAAGAAGTGTCAGTTCCACGTGCCAGATAAATGCCCAATAGAAATGGGTCCAGATCAATATCATCCAGGACTATGGCAAACACCTTAGTCAGAAATAGGAAATTTAAGGCTGGCCAATAACTAGTCAGGACTTTTGGGTGAAGGACAGGTTTCTTTAAGAAGGATTTTACAGCAGCTTTCTTTAGACAGGAGCGAAAAGACCCTTCCTGTAAGGAAGCATTGATCATATCCCTAGATTATATTAATAGTCTTACCTTGGCAGATTTTATTAGCCAGGAGGAGGCAAGAATAGATGGTAGCCCTCACAGTTTCAGATTTTACAGGATCTACAAGCTGAAAAGAGAAGGGGTTAAAAAAAAAATCAATAATTTGTATTTTTATAGGTTTGGATTTTTGTTGCTTTTAATTCTGTTTTAGTAATGCTTTTACCTAATATTTTTAATACAATGTTTATTTAATTATTTTTAAATATTCAAAGAACTTACTGTTTTTAGCTTTCAGTATTGTCTTTTTAAATGATGTAACCTACCTTGGATCCTTTGTTTTAGAAGATATTTATTTATTTATTTTATTTATTTATTAAATTTATACCCCACCCCTCTAGACCATGTCTACTCGGGGCGGCTTACAGCATAAAAATCAATATAAATATATATAATCATTAAAAAGAAAGGCGGTTAAATTTATACCCGACCCCTCTAGACCATGTCTATTCGGGGCGGCTTACAGCATAAAAATCAATATAAATATATATAATCATTAAAAAGAAAGGCGGGGTAAAAATATTTAAAACAAGATAAAATAAAATACTGGGACAAGCAGTTGTCAAAGCCAAGAAGACCTGGACCTTATCCATAAAATACAAAGCAAACCACTCACAGCTAGCAACTGTTCTGAGACCTTCTCTCCAATACCCTGCAGAAAGAGTCTTTGCACAGTTTCAAAAAGCATCACTGGACTGCTCTGTGTGGGTGCAGTGTTTCATCTTAGCATGCGTTGCTACTCCATTGTAGCTTTTAAGACAGGTTCCAATAAGCCTGAACAACTTGAGTTGTCCTCCATTGATGTTCTAGCAATCATCCTTCTTTTACATTGCCCTCAGCTCTCTGTTAAACCAGCTCTACAGGTGGAAAAGGGACACACTTAGGAAGGATAGTGTTAACTATCCTTGCTATTTCCGCCTTCCACAAATTACCTAGGACTTCCAATAGTATGAAAGGCAAATGAAGTAGAAAATCCCCAAATCTATGTATTTAGAAAATAATTATGATCCATCAGGTGCTTTGGGCAGACCACCTTCATTTGTTGCCACCCCTGTGGAGGGTTACAGGTGCTGGTCTCAAACTAACCAGATGGTGATTTGTCCATAAAAACAGAAATACATGTAGCTCCTCAATCTTTTAGTTATTATACAAAACTGCACCAGAGGAATATACCAAATCCAAAGTATGCCCTGCCACAGAGAGAGGTCAGCTACTAACTGGGATATATCTATAGATGTCATTGTATATATGAAATCCTAAGTCACTTCTGCCAACCTAGCGGTTCGAAAGCATGCAAATGCAAGTAGATAAATAGGGACCACTTCGGTGGGAAGGTAACAGTGTTCCGTGTCTAGTCACACTGGCCATGTGACCACGGAGGATTGTCTTCGGACAAAACGCTGGCTCTATGGCTTGGAAACGGGGATGAGCACCGCCCCCTAGAGTCGAACACGACTGGACAAAAATTGTCAAGGATAACATTTACCATATCCTAAGCCACTTCTGCCTGGGCAACCGTGGCTTGAAAGGACAACAGTTGCTGTTGTTTAGCCTTTAAGTCGTGTCTGACTCTTCATGACCCCATGGACCAGAGCACGCCAGGGCCTCCTATCTTCCACTGCCTCCTGGAGTTGGGTCAATTTCATGTTGGTTGCTTCGATGACACTGGCTAACCATCTCAACATATTCAGTATATAGCAAAAAATTTGAAGGTGCAGGAGCACACAGTGAGTTCTTGCATCCAAAGACAAGAAACACAGGCAGCTATATCGGTCCAGAAGCAGCTGTTTTGTAAAGATGTGCGGGTTCTGTGCTGTCAAGGCTGAACTGAATTATGATGGCCCTAATAGGGCCTTCAAGGGAAGTGAGATATTTACAGAGTGGTTTTACCAGTTCCACTGCCTTGGTGAGTTTCCATGGCCAATTGGCCATGGAGAACACACTGTTCTCCAGAGTCCTTGTCCCTCCCTCTGTCCACTTCACCACACTGGGAATCAAATATTCTTGTAAAGATAATGGCTACTGATTGTCTGTTCAGGACCTAACCATTTTCAAATGCTTTGCATTACAGAGGAATAGCTTGCAATATACTGTTCCTGGGGAAATCTGTTTTCTCCTACCTGCTATGAGGATTGCTTAGAGAACAAGAAGGCTGGGAGGGAGCAGTGGCAAATTTATTTATTTATTTATTTATGCCAGTGGCAAATGATACACAGTGGTGCCTTGCTTGATGATGTTAATTCGTTCCAGTGAAATTGCTGTAGAGCAAAAACATCATCAAATGAAATTTTAAAAAAACCATTGAAACGCATTGAAAACCATTCATTGCATTCCAGTGGGCTGAATACCTGCTTGTCCAGCGAAGATACTCTAAATGGTGGCCATTTTCGGCGCCTGTAAAGCGAGGAATCTATAATGGCGGCCATTTTCAGCGCCTGTAAAGCGAGGAATCCATCCTAGAAAACAGCGGGGGGGGGGCATTTTCTTCAGCCGGTGCTATTTGCTGATCGTCGTAAAGCGAAAATCGGTTCCCGAAGCAGGGAACCAATTGTTAAAAGAAAAAAAATTAAAACATTTGTTTTGCGATTGCAAAAACCTAATCGTACAGCGATTTCCTCGTTAAGCGAGGCAATCGGTAAGCGAGGCACAACTGTACAGTAGTCCGTGCTAATCAGAAAGTCTTGTGACGCCTGCCTCTGCTACATCACTGTTCACATACTGGACATATAGAGTACAGAAAGCCTTTATTGTGGGGAATGGTATCAGTGCTCTCAGATTTCTTGATTGTCTGATATGCAGAATATTCAAGGAATATTGGAAATATTTGTGGAAACAAATGCCTGCCACTATAACTCAGATGATTTAATGATTTTTTCCCCACTAAGATTCAATGACATTTAGCTGTCAGAGGCTGAAACTCGATAAGAAATTTCTTCTGATTAGATGCAGAAGCCAGTGGAAATTCCATATAATGTGGTGATTTCCTGCCTGATTTTTTTTTCCACCATAGAACTGCTTGGAGAACTTGGACGTCCATCCACTTTCCTTATAATGTGGTGGTTTCCTGCCTGATTTTTTTTTTCCACCATAGAACTGGAGAACTTGGACGTCCATCCACTTTCCTTCTCCATAATCAAACTGAAGTTGATCATCTGGTGAGTCACACATTACAAATTAATAGGACTGAAGTGAGACAGAGTTTGAACAGTATCTAAAAATTTAAAACTGAGTTGCTTTAAAACTTTTTTTCAATATAGGTTTTAAATATGATTACCATCCTAACATGATTTATAGATAGAAAGAGATTAGAATGAAGAAGAACTGGCTTAATATTATCACCCCATTTTTAAAACAACGGATCTGTGCCAATGAGTTGTTCGCTGTATGGGAAGGACTCTTAGAATACCCACAAGATCTGACTGCCTGGAATTATGAACAGGAGCACAGCATACAATAACCATTTGTTGAGGTTCCAGGTCACTTCTTAAGTAAGAGTGCAGTGAGGGTGCAATGCCTTTTCTGCTCTTCTGATGGTCCTACTTTTAACACTTGATAGGATCAACTTCATGCAACCATATCCCCATATTAGAATGGGAACAGAGTTGCCTTATTGATCAATCCAAAGCACTGCTGGCTTAGTCTTCCAATTCCAGCAATGGCCAGCCAAGTGCCCCAGATCATAACAGTGATATTGAAACCAAGAGGCCAGAGCTGGAGGTGATACTGATTCATACGTGTGGATCTTGGAGCTTTAAAGAACATAACGGTTGCCCCAGGTGGGCCTCTTTGGGACGGCTCTTCCACAATCATGGAGCCACTGCTGGAAAAGTTCCAAGTGTGTCCTACCACTTTGGGGGGGGGCACCTTACTCTGCCTCAGAATAGGACTTAGGAAGAGTATTTTGTGAAGAGCTTATGTTAAGCTTTGTAAAGGCATATTTAGGAGAAGGTGGACTTTCTGGTTCCAAGCATTTAAGGCTTTATCTTTAAAACCATCAACATTAGGTTTAAAAATAGATTGGGATAAAGCACAAATGTTCTTGAAGGATGCTCCAAAAGAAATGCATTGGAATAGGCTACCTAAAATGTGTGGGTAACTTTGGCCATGATATCTCCACCCAGGCAAGGCCAGAGCATACTAGCAAGTAGTAGCCTGTCTTCATGAGTAAATAGTGCTAGTGGTTCTTTATCACACTCGTGTCCTTTGGTCATATGTATGAGGATGGAGTAAGGTCCGTTTCACTGCATCGTCCTGCTTTCATCAATTTCCATGTAAAACATGCAGCGCATGATTAACGATGTAATGCAACCTGTAATTTTATCCTTAGTTGTGGAAACATTACTAAAACCAAATACCATTGAATAATACGTAATCTGTTTAAAATCTTGATGGAAATTTGGTTAAAACGAAAACAGGAACTGTAGTTCTTTTTCTAACAAAAGTACAGCCACAGGTACCTTACCCTTGCCCTATGATTATATAATAGATTTTAAGTCTCTGATATCTGCAGATCTACATCAAAATATATTCTATAGCTGTAGGAAACAACTCTGAATTGTTAACCTTCCCCCCAGGTACTGAAGGCGACACACTGTGAGATTAGATGTATATTTTCTTGGAGATATGCCACCCATAGAGGAGTCCATATTTACATCTTTTGTTGATATTTTTTATAGATTAAGAGTCTCTTTACTTGGGTGATAATTCTCCTAAGTACTGTAATTTGCTGCCTCTAATATTTGTCTTGAGTCCTAGTTTGCAAAATATATTTGAAACCACTTTATAAAGTCGCATAATTGCTTCTTTGTAGAGCGGGCATAATGAGTAGTTTCTTTATCCAGCCTTTATCCTGTTAACCTTAGAGGTGAGTGACTGGTTGCTGGAGTAGTTGGGGAATGTCTTAGCGCTGTTGAGCCATTTAATTTCAGGACTAATTTCATAGCAGTGACACAGAATTGGCCATGAGTGAGCTGGCAGTTATTTCAAGGGTTTTCTGTTAGGACCTGATGCAATGGTAAAATGAAACGGAAAGAAAGGTACATGTGAAAGATTTATATTCTCTCTCTCAATCTCTCTGTGTATGTATGATATGCACAAAAGATTCTTACTCTATAATACAAGCCTGACATTATAAAGTAGTACGTACTGCTGAATTTTATGCAATAAGAAGTTATTCTTTTCTGGGGCCTCTAGTACAGTGGTGCCTCGCTAGACGATGATAATCCGTTCCACTGAAATTGCTGTTTATCGAAATCATCGTCTAGCGAACAGCATTTCCCCACTGGAATGCATTGAAACCTGTTTAATGCGTTCCAATGGGGAAGAATCATCGTTGACTAGAGAAGATCCACCATAGGAAAGCCGCTTTGCAAACCGCCGATCAGCTGTTTAAATAGCTGTCTTGCAAAGCTTAGGTCCCGAAAACACCAGTTTTGCAAGCGTGGAGGGAGCTATCAAAATCAGCTATTACAAAAATTGGTTTGCGAAGCAGGGACCAAACATTGTCCAGCGAAATTTCCCCATAGGAATCACTGTTTTGCGAATCACTATAGCAATCGCAAAAAGTCAATGTCTAGCGAATAAACTGTCATGTGGGGTATCTGTCTAGCGAGGCACCACTGCACAGTGAAGCCATGGGACTGGAATTCTCCCTTCTGGTAAAGGCTTCAGCTTGTTCTTCCTCTGTTCTTTCATTTCTGTCTGTTCAACTCTACGGTAGGCACATCAAAAAGGATGCAGCATCACAATCCAGGTGGAGGAAAACATTGTGATAGTCAGGTTGGATTGTTTTTTTCTTCTTCCCAGTGATACAGACACTATTGTGGTTCCAAAGCACACTACTGCTTAGACAACTAGAAATTGTATTAGATATCTCCTCGCATGTGCACAGTCCTGAGGCAGAGTTCGGCAAACACTTCATTCGCGCTAGCGAAGTTGTTGACTGGTGGCATGAGGTTTGGTGCTGTTGTTCAAGGAAGCATTAATCCGAATCCATGCCCCCCTGAGCATAAAAAGTGACTTTCTGCATAGCACTGTCCATTATTATCCCAGATTACTGGATTATAGAGGACCCAGAGGCTAGATAATGTGATCTGAAGGCGAGGTTTTAGATTCGTTCAGCAGATACCATGGCCTCCATCCAGTCGGTGATCTTTTTTCTAAGGCTTTGGAATTGTCATATGTGTGTCTGTTTTGTGCCCTCAAGTTGAAATCAATTTATTAGTGACCCTAACAGGGCTTTCAAGATAAGTGAGATATTTAAGGAGTGGTTTTACCAGTTCCACTTCCCCAGTCAGTTTCCATGGCTAAGTGGTGATTTGAACCCTGCACCAGAGTCCCAGTTCTATCCACTTACACCACACTGGGAATCCCACATATTGTCATACAATATTATAATTTAAGATTAATAAAAGTGATTGTGAAGGTGCTGTTGGCCAGGTATTTGAGTTGCAGTTTGCTCCTGTTATTGTTACGGTTTAATATGAACTTCAGAATAAACTTATTTCAAAAACATCTTATCCAGCTGCCAACAATTTGCATTAAAATATGTACACGATATATATATATATAGCAATGTAAAGTAACAGCAGAAAGTGACATAGCCATGTTAAACAGCAGTATGAGCAGTACAGAACAGTAGAAAATGAGAGGATTGAAAATAATGCTAATAATTAAAACACCCTCGAATGATTCAAAGTTCTCTTTAGTCTTTTAGTTGTGTATTGTTCTGATGTGTATATGCCACTTCTCTGCCATATAGTGGTTGCTAAAGTGACATGCTGTCACTAATAATGTAAAAAAGACAACACAAAAACAACAAATAAAAGATAGATGATTTTTTTAAAAAAAGAGCATCTTGAGCTCATGGATTGAATCCAACTAGAGAAGACCCACTTAATTAATAGAACCTACACAAGTGTTGGATTAACAAACCATATTGTTGGGTCCTCTCTAACAAAATCTAATAATTCGATTTAAAAACCGAAAAGCAGTTCACTGTTTTAAGATAAATTTCTTTTCAACTCTCTGAAATATGAGAAAACTAGGATAAACCAGATAGATAAATTAAGCCAGATAAATCCAGTGCTTAGGCATCATCATAGAAAAGACCTTGTCATCTGTGCCAACCCACCTGACTTCAGACACAACTGATATGATGATAATTAGTAAAGTTGAAATCCAATGTGACATCAAGAGAAGAACATAGTGTACTAGCAGCATTCCATTGCTTCCAGTTGTGCAAAAGATAGTGTATTTGTTTTTGTTGCCATTTTACACAGAATTGGTTGTGCTGCTTGAAACTGTATTGGATTCCTTCCTTGCAAACTAGATTTACCCCAGCAGTAGATGTCCATGCGCGCAATGCATTTGCACCAGGAACATAATGTTACTATTAAATCCTGACTAAATGCCCCACCCCCTTTTCATCAACAAAGGGCTTTTCCAGATGGGGAAGAAGTTCAATCTGTCTTTTTCCTACTTGATTACAAAGGATTGCAATGTGTTCTGAGAGATGCATTTGCTTCTTCTCTGAAAGCAGGTCCTCTTTAGAAAACCTTAAACTCCTTCAAAAACAAGTAAAACAAATCCCCTCCCCCACTGCAGTTTCTCTCTGAGAGATTTTTTTTAAGTATTTGCAGGTAATTGGAAGCTAATTCAAAACTTCCAGTGGGGAGAAGGCTCTGACTTTGGAAATTAACTGCAGCAAAAAGTGCCATAGCACTATATTCTGACAGAACAAAGTTAGATTTAAAAAAAAAAAAGAATAGAAATCAAGGACTTTGTCACTGTAATGACAGAGATAAGGTAAACATCGTATGGATGGTAAGAAAAACACACCAACATCAGTGCTGAATCAGGTACAGTACATTATAGAAAACAAATTCTCCTTCCAGATAAACCCCAAATAATTTGACAATAAATGTCAATTGATCATACCATATATTATTTTGTTCAGTTTACATTGTCTCCCAGTATTGTCTCTACAAACTCCTCTGTATGTCTAAAGAGTTCAGCTTGATCTTCTAACTTTATATTTTGAAGGTTCTGAGATCTAGGATGAGAATTGTATTAGCAAAGCTGATTTCTCTTGTTACTTGCTCAAAAGGCTGCTCTGTACAGCACAAATGATTCATAAGCGTCCATTGTTCAGAGT